GCAATTTTGGTGTTTTGCTCATTATAACCTTACAACGAAGGAGACATATTTCTCTACAATTAGTACAGTACAGTAGTACCGCTTCTAAAAAGCATAACAATCTTAAAGACCTTACGCAATGTTTTTAAATATTTTTGGTGTTTAAAAATTAATGGTTGGATTTTTTTACTTAAAACTTTCAGATACATTAAAGGGCAGATTTCTCTAGATTTTGTTGTATAGTTTTCACAAATTTGATCAAACAAAAATATTTGACCTTCATAGCGGAAGGTCACTTTAAATTTGAAATATTCTGGCTACGTCTTCTCGAAACGATCATAGCGCTAAGATATCCTAGGAACAGATTGAGTAAGGTAAAAGGGACAGTTACGCCATTTTTTTGACCATTCATACTTTAGTCTCAGAAACATGAATTTTTTTTAACTTACATAATTAGTAATAGTGTTCACAGCTCATCGTGAAAATTTCAGCCTTCAAATCTATGTGTGTCCAGAATTATCTGTGTTTGATAGTTAAAAAGACAAGTCATCTTTTCTTGAGACATTACCATATATAGAAAAGACATCTATAGAAATAGGGAAAAAAAATTCCTATTTTGAGATATTTTTGAAGGAATTATGCAATTTTGGTACATTTCCAGTACTTCTGAAGACTATTTACATATATTCAAGACTAAAATCAACCCCCCAATATTGTCCCTAGCGCAAAGATCAGTTTGAGAATATGCAGCCAGAATGTTAGAAATTAATTATCACAATTTTGCTCAAAAACAAAAAGAAGGAAAAAAGTTTTCCAAGGTTATGATGAGAAGCAATTAAATCCAAAAAAAAACAATTTGGTATTAAAGCTATCATGCTTTACAAAAGTAAAATTTGTATATTTTTTTCTGATCTGTCCATCTCATAAACATTTACATCGTTGAAGAATTTGTAGAACAATTTGTTCATCATCATTGTGTATAAATTATAAAAAGTTTACGATTTTTTTTTTTGATTATATCTGTATTTGTCTCTGTGGGCTAAACTTTTGGTGAAAAAATGTTCTTTTATGATAGCTTATTTTTTGACCAAAATAGTCTTAGTTATAATTCTTACTCTCTTTCTTTTCAGCTTGTTCAAGTTATGAACGAAATGCAGACATGGTTGGTAGTGCTTGTAGTTTGACAACAACCAGTGGAAATATCTCCACGGCAACCAGTTTTATGAGTTTTGGTGAAGAGTCTGAGGTATGGTGATATCTATTATTGCCACGTTTCAATTCAACGAACTTTTCCACACATGCATATTTTCAATCAATACTTATACGGTGTTAAAGGGATGGGTTCACCAATCGCTTGACCAAATGTACTAGTCTCAAATTCAGGGACAGGATAGCCAATTTGGGTGGTTGATTAGGGTCTATGTAAATAGTCTTCAGAAGTACTAAAAATGGAATAAAAGCGCATAATTCCTTCAAAAATATCTTTCACTTTCTATTTCTTTAAACATCTTTTCTATATATGGCAGTGTCTCGAAAAGACGAGTCAGCACTTTCAAACACTGATAATTCCAGACATGCAAGACTCAAATTTTGACAGTGAGCTGTGAACACTGTTACTGATAAGCTTAGCTAAAAAATTTCTGTTTCTGAGACTAAGGTATGATTGTTAAAATGGATGGTGAACCTGCAGTCTGATCAGTATGCAATTATCAAGAATGTTTATGCCACTATTTAAAAGTCATGATAATTATTTTCAACATGTTGTATTGCAGGCTTACCTATGTTCAAACTGTGAACTAACTATTGGAGTCTGTGAAAAGAGATGTAGTAATTTAAGTTTGACCAGTAATGATAGCGGTGTTGTGCATCAGTGTCCAGATCATATGGATTTAGAAAACCCAGCAGACAGTAACAGTGATGTCAATTTTGAGTCCTGTCTATCAATACATGTTATGAGTGCTTCTGTTTCAGAAGATAGCCCAGTAAGTAACTTTTTGAATTTTGGTTTTTAAATTTATGCAACAAAATTTTTATTTGACTTTGATAATTCAATTTATATTTCAAGTTTTTATTTTTCTATGTAGCCACTTCAGTTATAGTCTAAGGACAGACCTCTTAAACGCTTGTCAAATTAACCTTTTGACCTTTTGACCTAACTCTAACCTTTTGACCTAACTCGATGACATCTGGATTAACCTCATGCCCCTCATGCTTTGTTTTAGTGGAATTGCAGGAACCACAGACATCTGATTGAAAATTTGAATGGTGCAAATTGACGCTATCAGTGTCCCCGATACACATAAAAATTTTAGAAAAACTCTTCACAATCTCTTTAATAAGGTTAAAAATGACTCCAATTATTGTCATATTCCCCCTGTGAAGCTTATATGAAATAAGATAGAAAAACATGGCCATCACGTGGCTATCCACCTGATAGCATGTCTATATGGCTTATTACTTCATATCTCGAGTTCCTCTAAGCTACTCAGTCAACATGACAAATGACAAAGCAGATGTAAATAGTCTATTTGTAACCAGACACCAATCATTTCCCTATTAAATGGAACCAAGAATCTAAAGATCATCAGGGTATTGGTTGACTTTATTAAGTGCATGTACATCAGAGTGAACTGTACTAGTTAAAGTTAGCTTGATCTGTGCAATACTTTGGAATTGAAATGGAAATGCCAGACATTGTCTTTTGTCACCAATTGAAGCAGAATTTAGTGGTATTTATCTTTATACTTTTTATTTCTTTAAAGGGATTGTGGAAAGGTTTTCTAAAAAATGTTATGTGTATGAGGGACTCTGATAGCATCAATTTGCACCATTTCATCAAACACTTAGTTTTAGTAGAATTGCAGGAACCACAGACGTCTGATTTAAAATTTATATGGTGTAAATTGATGCTATCAGTGGAATCTCAAAGTTCTTCAGCTAAGCTTGTGAAATCATAAAATTTGTATTTGCAATGGATGTTCATTTAAAACAAAACAATTTTGTTATGATTCCATCACCGAATTTTTCTTTAAATTTTTAAAAGCTGAGAACAATCTAGTAATCTATGTAAACTATCTATGTCAAAGATTCTATAAAATAATTTTATGTTTAAAAACTGTGTTAATTAAGTAATAAATTTCTTTTTCATTTTGAAGAAGTCGTAGATAAGTCCTCATACAAAATCGATTGTTCATTGTTCTATGGCAATGACAATAAAGGAACTTTCCAGGCACAGAAGTCTTCAAAACCTACAACCATTGAATTCTTTGTAGGATATTGGCAATCCCTTATAAAAAAAATTGTAGGAAAATGTGATGATTTTTTAAGGGACTGTAAAGAAGTTTTTGAAAAAATCACTGATAGCATCAATTTATACCATTCCAATTTTCAATTCCACTTAAACCCTGAAAAAAGGTCTTTATAAGCCAATTTACAAAGGTTACAAGTAAACCGTTAATTTGATAAACTGGGGAAGTCACACTTCATTATTATTGTTATTTTCCAGAACATTCCAATAAAGTATATCGCCACATATTTTGTATAGTAATTTAACAAAAAATGTTAGATTTTGTTACAGAATACTACCTCTTAGAATGTACATAAAATTTAAAAGAATCTACCTCTTAGAATGTACATAGAATTTAAAGTAATTCTAACTCTTAGCTTGGAGATAAAATTTAAAAGAATCTACCTCTTAAAATGTACATGAAATTTAAAGGAATACTACCTCTTAGAATAAACATAAAATTTCAAGTCTCAAACTTGGTTAACAAGTATATATTCATCAGTTGAACTTACCAGGTACCATGATTAAAGAATAGAATCTCTATATAAGATGATATATCCATTAAACTAAATAATAATTGAAACACGTTTCTAAGTTTCAAAATTACTTAGTTTAATAGATTTATTAGATCCGTTTACAATTATGCTTTAATCAATGTACACAACAAAAAGGTGGATCTGTTTACAATTATGTTTTAATCAATGAAAGGTGGATCTGTTTACAATTACGTTTTTATCAACAAAAAGGTGGATTTTTTAACAATTATGTTTTAATCAATGTGCACAACAAAAAGCTGGATTTGTTTACAATTATGTTTTAATCAATGTACACAACAAAAAGCTGGATTTGTTTACAATTATGTTTTAATCAATGTATACAACAAAAAGCTGGATTTGTTTACAATTATGTTTTAATCAATGAAAGGTGGATCTGTGTACATTAATGTTGTAATCAATGTACGCAACAAAAATCTGGGTTTGTTTAATACCGGTATAGAAATTCATATCCTTAGTAATATCATCTACCAATATATGGCCACATTGTGATATATGGTAGTTATCACGATAAATACTGGTATAGGAATTTATATTGTTAGTAATATCACCTGATTAAAAAATACCGAAATACCGCCATATTGTGATATATGGTAGTTATCACGATAAATACCAGTATAGAAATTTATATTGTTAGTAATATCACCTGATTAAAAAATACCGACATATCACCATATCGTGACATATAGTAGTTATCACAATAAATATCGATATAGGAATTTATATTGTTCATAATATCACGTGATAAAAAAATACCGAAATATCGCCATATCGTGATATATGGTAGTTATCACGATAAATACTGGTATAGGAATTTATATTGTTAGTAATATCACCTGATTAAAAAATACCGAAATATAGCCATATCTAAACTGAAGTGGCTACATTAAAAATAAAAGTTAATAAAAAACAGAATGAAATTTTGGTCTTATTTTGACTAACATGTAGTATAGGCGTATTCATCCAGATTCATTGTAGACCATTATTTCCAGTAACTTGTTCCATTGTTGCAGTTGGATTAAATCTTCCGAATGGTTCACCATTGACCCAGCATTGAATAACTTCTGCTAAATTGGAACTACATTTTTTTATTACAGAGTGCCTTTTGTAACTGCCTTGAGTCCAGATTAGAATGCAGCTCAACAGGAAGTTTTGAAGACAATGACATCCAGTCTCGAAGTCTCTGTACTACATGTCAAAAGCTAAAAATGACTCAGAGGGAAATAATACATGAAATTTGTGATATTGAAACCAACTATGGTCGTGATTTGAACATTCTGAAAGAGGTAAGAAATTGTGAAAGATTATAATGGTTGTTAAAGGGACAGTTGCTCCATTTTGGGGGGTTGATTTTATTCTTGAATATTATGTAATTAGTCTTCAGAAGTACTAGAAATGTACGAAAATCTCATAATTTTAATGTATATCTTTTCTATATATCATAGAGTATCTTAAAATGACGAGTCATCATTTCAACTTTCAAACGCAGATAATTCTAGACATACATGGATTTGAAGGCTCAAATTTCGACGGTGAGGTGTGAACACTATTACTGATTAGCTCATCTAAAAAATTCCAGTTTCTGAGTGATTGGTCAAAAAAAATGGTTTTGTCCCATTAAGTACCAGTACTGCCATTAGGTTTGTGATACTGTGACATTATTGTGTTCTTTAAAGGGACAAATTTTTGAGCAATTATACCTTAGTCTCAAAAACGAAAATTTGTCAGCAAATATAATAGTATTCACAGTTCACTGTCGAAATTTTAGCCTTTAAATCCAAGTGTCCAGAATTATCTGTATTTGAATGTTAAAGGTATACTACCTCTTAGAATGGACATAAAATTTAAAGTCTAAAACTTGGTCAATAAGTGTATATATTCATCAGTTGGACTTACCAGGTACCATGACTAAAGAATAGAATCTCTATATAAGATGATATATCCATTAAACTAAATAATTATTGAAATACACTTCTTAGCATGTTTCAAAATTACTTAGTTTAATGAATTATTACTTAGTTTTATAGATTTATTAGATTATAGAGAGATTCTGTTGTATAGTTATGACACCAGGTAAGTTCACTGATGAATAAAGACTCATTTTGGCCAAATTTGAAAATTAAAATATTTTGGTCATCTTAAGAGATAGTATAACTTTAATCATATCCATTTTCATAATCTACCTGTATGTATTATCTTATGATGTATTTTGTCAATTTTTAGGAAATTTATACACCTTTAAAATTGGCTGGATTATTAACATGTGAGCAGTTAGAACAGATTTTTGGAAATTTGGATGATTTAATATGTAATAATTCACTTTTCTGTAAAAAATTACGCTCTGCCTGTTGTCATGGTGAAGTAAGTAGCTTTATCATTTTGTCATTATTCTACTATAGTAGTAAATTGATCGAGTCTTAATTTTCTAACATAATAGCATCGATTGGTACCATTCCAAATTTCAATCAGACGTCTGTGGTTCCTGCAATTCCACTAAAACTATAAGTGTTTGATATCGTCACTAATTGCAAGGGCCTAAGTGACGTCATCAAACACTTATTTTGATAAAATTGCAAAAACCATAGACGCCTGATTGAAAATTAGAATGGTGCAAATTGATGCTTATCAGTGTCCCTGATACACATAAAAAATTTAGAAAACCACTTCACAATCTCTTTAAGTTATAAGTCTTATGACAAATAGATACACAATTAATTTTAACACTATTGTTAATTTGGCTTTGGTGATAATGTATCAGCTCAGTGAGAATTAAATAGTCTAATTAACTTGATGCCAGTTTGTTAACGCCCATTGATATAGATGTCTTTTATAGTCGTAGACTTACAGAAATTAAATGGCATTTTTGTTTAAATATACTAAGGATTGCGTAATGTATATTGCAACAATAAAATTTATCACACAACAGTACTGTTAACGAGTTCATAACACAGGTTCATAAAAATGATATGGCATTGTTGATGACTCAGTTAAAATTAAAGGTAAAGGGCATGAAATTGTTCCAAGTAACATAACTATGATTAAAAGTTTCAATTTAGTTATAACATAATATAATACCACGTTTTGTTTTGTATTTTTTGTCACATATAAATAAATAATTCCATGTTTTTTCAGAATTTGTGCAACATCAATATGGGACTTCTGTTTCTCGATTCCTCTGATATGTTTTCTGCCTTTGAGAAATATTGCTTAAATCAGGTGAGAGGTCACATCTTTACTGATCCATGACCATGACCTGTCGCCATGACATTTTAGCATCATGACACTTGAATGTCATAACATTTTAGCATCATGACACTTGAACACCATGTCACTTGAAAATCATGTCACTCGAACACCATATCACTTGAACGTTGTGACACGTGAACATTATGACACTTGAACATCATGTCACTTGAACAGCATGTCATTTGAACAGTATGTCATTTGAACACTGTGTCACTTCAACATCATGACACTTGGACACCATGACACTTGATCATCAAGACACTTGAGCACCATGACTCTTGAACACCATGACACTTGAACACCATACTATGTCACTTCACAATTGAACATCATGACATCATGACTTAAAATCAACTTTTATTTTTGTTAGCATCAAGCAATAACAGTTTTAGACCAAATAGTCAAAGAAAAAGAATTATTAAAGATATTCCTGCAAGTTTCCCAGACTGAAAATGCTCTTTTACGTCGAATGCACCTGAAATCTTTTTTAATGCTTCCAGTTCAGCAAATAGTGAGGTAAATATCTTATTTCATAATCCTTTAGCGACATTTAGGGGTAGAGATCACATTAAATAACTGAACACAATTTTATGGTATACTACTCCTTAGTTTTATTACACACTACGTTTCAACAATCTACATTGTCATCTTCAGGTGACCTGGTGACCTGAAGATGACAATGTAGATTGTTGAAATGTCGTGTGTAATAAAACTAAGGAGTAGTATACCATAAAATTGTGTTCAGTTATTTAATCTTATTTCATGATAGTGCCTTAATGTAGTTAAAGGCATCAATTGGAGGTCACATGTACTACAGATTTTCGAACACAAATTTCACTCATTGCACACTGCATGGCATTGCCTGTATCATAAGCCTAATTAGAGTAGATGTATGCTTTTGAAGATTCAAATTTGAAAATGTTTCACTCTTTGTTGGTGGGTTTTAATTACCCTTTTAAAGGGATTGTAAAGAGGTTTTCTAAACATTTTATGTGCATTGGGGACACGGATGGAATCAATTTGCACCATTCAAATTTTCAATCAGACGTCTGTGATTCCAGCAATTCCACTAAAACTAAGTGTTTGTTGAAGTCACATAATTTCTTTTTCATAATCATTCTGAAATTGCATTTTTGACAGGTATCCATTAATATTGAAGCGTCTGTATAAAGTAACACCACAATATCACCAAGATAGAGAAAACATTAGAATAGCACAAACCAAGATGGAAGAATTTTTATCAAGAATAAATTCGGTACGTTTGTCACTTTAAAACAATACCAGACAATTAAGAGGGAACGCCATTTGGGGTACAAGGGGAACATTTGCCCCCCTGGAAAAATGGTTTGTTCCCCACAATTGTACCCCCACTTTATTTTCTAACAAATTTGAAAAACATTTTCTTATACGTTTTTGCTCCAACATATGTGTTAGAATGCACCAAATCAATTCAATCTTTCAAAATTTTCTTGGGAGAACCTTTTCAGACACTCCATGAGAGGCTTGCGCCACGACTCCTCCACAGAATTGCAGTATTTTGAATTCAGCCTCTATCAGAAATTTCCAATTTTATCAAATTAACACATTTGACTAAAAGAAGCAGACATGAAAATAAACTTTTCCTGACAATCATTTTGTTTTATTGTAGAAAGTAAACGTGTCATCGCAACCAAAGAGAAAATCCCACTTTGAAAAGACACGGCATAGAGTATATTCAACAGAGAGACATGAAATGCAAGCAGTAAGCATTGTTTGTAAATCAGTTAGGTGCCAAGGCTTGAATTCTTATGCCATGGCAAATGCTTTCCAGAGTTGGTCTGGGGCCTTATTCTTGAAAACTTAATTTAAGTGTTCCAGTCAATCACTAAAATCGATATTAAATTTAGTTTTGTTACCAAATCAGATCACTGTATTTCAATCTAGTTAACTGAGCTACACTCCTCCCCATGTCAAGCTAATGTGCAAATGTCATCATAAGATTTCAAGACTCTGATTAACTGAGCTACACTCCTCCCCATGTTAAGCTAATGTGCAAATGTCATCATAAGATTTCTACAATCTATTTATCTGAGCTACACTCCTCCCCATGTCAAGCTAATGTGCAAATGTCATCATAAGATTTCAAGACTCTGATTAACTGAGCTACATTCCTCCCCAAGTCAAGCTAATGTGCAAATGTCATCATAAGGTTTCAAGACTCTGATTAACTGAGCTACAGTCTTCCCCAAATAAAGCTAATAATTAGCATTCTATCTAGAGATTCTTATAATTTGAAATATTTCAGATAGCCCTAGATGTGGTTGGTTGGAATAAAAAAGAAGGTTATGACCTTATATGCAGTAAAATATGGTTAGGACAGCCGACAGATCATATGTGGGCTGCTAAAAAATGTAAAAATGTAAAATTTACTCAGTTACATGCAGTACTCCTTGCTTTAAAAAAGGTGAGTTCAATTGATAATAATTTTCAAATTTAAAGGAAATATAGTAGCCTAAATATTTGTTGTAATAGCTCAATACTGTACACATAAAAAATGTAAAAAACTTCTTAACAATCACTTTAATATTTTACTTGATAACAATTCTAGCAGAATAAATGAGTTAATTATGTTTTATTTTTTAGACCAATGGTATGTTAGAGAGAAGAGGAAGTACCCAGGAAAGAAAAAATAGTTTTTTAGAAAGAAGAGGAAGCTCAAGCTCTTTGTTCCCAAACCAATCCTCATCAGTAGAAAAAGCTGCTGTTGTTTTATTACGAGAAAAAAATGGCAAATTTCAAGTTCTCAGAGTAGGTGAATTTGTTTCTATAACAACCAAAACAGTCTGAGTAAAATTTGACCAAACTTTTGTTTCGTTTTTTGTATTAGCTTTTATTTTTAATATAGCCATTTCAGTTGGGGACAACCAAAACAGTCTAATTAAAATTTGACCAAACTTTGGTTTCGTTTTTTTTATTAGTTTTTATTTTTAATTTAACCACTTCAGTTAAGGTCTAACAACAGCCCATCACTGACAACGTTCATCAAATAACCTTTTGACCTAACTCAGTTATGTCATAAAATTTCTACCCTCTCCAACGCTGGCAGTTTGTGACATGAGTTTGTCAGATCAAGAGGTTAATTGGACAAATGTTCAAGAGGGCTGTCATTAGACCCTAACTAAAGTGGCTATATTAAAAATAAAAGCTAACAAAAAACGGAACAAAATTTTAGTCTAATTTTGATTAGACTTGCTCTGTTTGTATTGGATAAAAGGATAATCATAAGCTCATATTTATAGAAAAACTTTGAGATGTTGCTAGTGAGGCACCTAAAAAGCTCATTGCCTGACAGATTACAATCCAACTAATCGATATATTCTTAAAGAACTTGCTGAAGAATTGATAATAATAAGTTTTCTAATTGTAATTGCAGGAACCTTTGGCGCTAGAGAAATGTGTAGTTACGGTAGATCCAGAATATGACGAAGCCTTTGAAATCCAAGAGTGGGGAAAAGAAGCTTATGTTATTAAGGTAAATTTTCTTGTTTCATTTTTTTTAACAAACCATATTTAAGACAATATTTGACATAAAAGGATTGTAAAGAGGTTTTCTAAATTTTGTGTGTGTATCTGGGACACTGATAGCTTTAATTAGCACCATTTCAATTTTTGATTATATCTGTGGTTCTTGCAATTCCACTAAAACTAACTTTTTTTATGATGTCACTAGAGGGGAGATACCGGAAGCTACTATTCATATCTATGCAGTTCCCCTCTAGTGACATCATAAAATGCGTTAGTTTTAGTGGAATTGCAAGATTTCGGAATGAAAATGGAATGGTGCAAATTGATCCTATCAGTGTCCTTGATACACTTAAAAAGTTTAGGAAACCTCTAATAAAAACCGTATTGTAAAGGGACAGGTTAGCCTTTTTTTTTGTTTTTTGACCAATCGTACCTTAGTGTCTAAAACAGGAAGCTAAGTTAATCAGTAATAGTGTTCACAGTTCGCAATCTAAATTTGAGCTTTCAAATCCATGTGTGTCCAGAATTATCCGTGTTTGAATGTTTAAATGACGACTCGTCTTTTCGTAAGACTTTGCCATATATAACAGACATCAAAAGAAATAATAAAAAAATTACTAATTTGAAGTATTTTTGAAGGGATTATAGAACTCATGTACATTTCTAGTACTTCTAATTTACATATATTCAAGACCCAAATCAACCCTGGAAAATGGGGAATCTCTCCTTTTAATAAAAATAGGGAATTGTTTAACCTTTTCCTTTTTCTTTTTTCAGTGTGACGATGTACAAGATACAAAATTATGGATCCATCATTTAAAACAGCAGACAAAAGACCTGAATCAATGGAGAAAAAGACGAAATGCTATGCCAAATATTATGTTAAAGAAGGTGACATGAAGAAGACATAAGGTGATCCTGGTTTTGCCATAATTTGGATCAGTGCCTCATTGGTTACCAAGTAGCCTGTTGCCAGAATTCATTAATATCTGCTGTAGATGAAACCTGAGGAAAGATCAGCATTAGATACAGAGTTGACAGATTACAGTAATAGACACAAGCATCCAGTCATACAAACAGCAATAAACTTTGATAGTGGCAAGTTATGACACTGTGCTTTTCAAACAAATATGCATTTTAGTGCTTTCCCTATGCTTTGATTTCTAATAGTTTGACTTGTATTGATTGATTGATACACTTTGTGTTTGACAGACAGCTTGACACAAAACAGTTTGTTACATCTGTTATTCAGACAGCTTGACATACCAAAGTGTCACAACTGTTAGTCAGACAGCTTGACATAAAACAGTTTGTTACATCTGTTATTCAGACAGCTTAACATACCAAAGTGTCACAACTGTTAGTCAGACAGCTTGACAAAAAACAGTGTGTTATGTCTGTAGCAAATGGCAGTTAGATAGTGTGTAAAACAAAGAACAAATAAAACAATTAATGCTGCAAACACAGTCTTGGTCGATGATTTTTGTCGCTGACTAGAGTCTTGTCAAGCACACGAGGAGACAAAAAATCTCCAACCGTTTTTTTTGTCACTATGTTGATATTCATGTGCACATGGACATCAGTGATTTTTGTCGCCAACTAGAGTCTTATCAATAGTTTTAAAGACCAGCTGCAGGCACATGTGAACCAGTCGGTTGTTTTTCACTATGTAAATAATCACATGCAGATCATGCAATCGAAAGCAAGAATTGATCTGATTGGATGATGATGCTCTGTCTTGCAGACGGTGACAATAAAAATATGGTTTTGATATCATAAATCATGTCTGCGATAATGTCGTAGAAGTGCTGGCACACATGAGTCAGTGCCAGCCAACGACTGTTTGGGTGCCTGAAGCTTTTTCATATAGCATGATATAAAAATACATATGAAACCCTTGATAGTAAACCATAAGTCTTTCATGCCTTCAGGTACCAAGTGATAGTTTTTATCATAGTTACTCTTTAGATAAATGAAAACATTTAAATCAAAATAATTCAAGACAAAGCACTTGATTGATTGATTGATTGGTGTTTGTTTGTTAGCTAAATCAAAATATTATATGAATTCCTTACTATGTGATATATTTCCTAGAAGTATTGTTTTGAATTTGTTTTTAATGGTTCTAAACCAATCTAATTAAAACAGTGATGCCTTGTCAAAAACAATTTGATATCTTTAAAGTTTATCATTATTAGCTCCTTGTTAACTCCTCATTATCAAAAGATATTAAAATATGGTATGTAAATTGGTTTGAACTGTACCCAAAAGTACGGAAGCATATTAGGGCCATTCATTTTTGTTTTTTTTAATTTTCAAGTTAGTATGTTTAATTTTCAAGTTAGTAACTTGTAATGCTTCTAAGCATGTTTCAAAATTACTTAGTTTAATGAATTATTACTTAGTTTTATAGATTTATTAGATTATAGAGAGTTTCTGTTGTATAGTTATGACACCAGGTAAGTCCACTGATGAACAAAGACTCATGTTGGCCTAGTCTACAAATTTCAGTTTTTTGTTCATCCTTTGAGGTAGTATACTTTTAAGTAAACAATATTTTTAGGAAATATATTGCATAGAACTATTTATAATGTTTTTAATTTGTTATTTAATATTTTGTAAAAATTGTAAATGATATTTATATACTTTATATATGTCCTCGATTGAATTACAATTTTTTGTCTTTTATGCCTATAGATTTTGGGGAACTGAGGTGGCCCAGTGAGTTAGATGCTTGCTCACTAACCTGAAGGTCCAGGGATCAATCCAAGCATAGGTTGAGATAACACTTTTGGATTTTTCAACCCCGTTTCACCCTGTCAGTGATGCAGGTAAGAGGGGCTGACATGGAAAATGTGTCTAGTCGTTGGATGAGACAATAAACCTAGGCACTGTGTACTACAAACTGTGCACGTTAAAGATCCCTCGACAGTTGGAAATCAAAAAAGAGCTGTCTAATGCCGCTGTCCTGGCAAAATTACCCTCAATGTTATGCTGCATGGTGTGGCGTCTTCATCAGACTATAAGGTACAGAAGAGTAGGATGTAAAGCTCCATTCAATTCATGTCATGTAGATTTTCGTCTCTGGTCAAGCAGGTTTTTATCTGAACACAGGCCAAGTTCCTATCTGATTGAAACACAGATCTAGATGTTTCAATCAATTGCAGGAATCACAGATGTCTGATTGAAAATTGGAATGATGCAAATTAATGCTATCAGTGTCCCAAATACACAAAAAAAATTAGAAAAACCTCTTTACAATCTCTAAATATAAATGCAATGAACAGGATAATTGCAAGAACAATAAAATACTTTTGTATATTTTTTATATCAAAACAAATTTAATTTTCAATTTCATACACAATTTGGTGATAAATGATATCACAACTTTAAGAATACTATGATTTCTATTACAAAAATTTCATTTTCTCTCAAATTAGACCAAACCCTTATCTGTTTTTTTTCATTAGTTATATAGCCACTTCAGAGTCTTACGACAGCTATCTTGAACGTTTGTCAACGTAACCTTTTGACATGATAAACAATGTGTCACATACCAGCACTAGAGAGGATAGAAATTTGATTGGTTAAAGCTGACGTCATCGAGATAGGTCAAAAGGTCAATTTGACAAATGTTTAAGAGGCTGTCGTAGGACTCTAACTAAAGTGGCTATATTAAAAATAGGCTATTTTAAAAATATAAGCTAATAAAAAAAGGAACGATAGTTTGGTCTATTTTTAATAACATTAATTTTCTCTTGAACTTATCCTTACATCCAAAATCCAATATGGCTGCTACACTTTTCTTACTTACAATCAGAAAAAGGTGATTTCTAATGATTTATGCAAGAGTTACATTGTCCAATATAGCTCAAAGAATATGTTGTATAACAGGGTTCAATTCACAGTTTGCAATTCCAAATAACCCCTTCTTTCAGATTATTAGCCAAAATTATCAAGACGATCTGCAAATCAAATTAACTTGTATATCAAATCTTTCAATCTAAATTGAACCCTGTTGCATAAATGTATATTTGCTACAATTATTTTACATCTATAGCAAGACAGAGTGGCCTTTAGGTTGCAGGTACATGGACAGTCTTGGATGATGATTTTTGTCATGGACTCACGTATTGAACAGTTGCAAGCACACTAAAAAAATCTCCAGTTGGTCATTTTCCACCATGTTGATAATCATATGCAGATCATGCAATTGAAAGGAAATGAATTTGATTGGATGATGACGCTCTGTCTTGTAGAAGATAAATCAATCAGCGACAAATATCAAACTGGTTATAAATGATACTGATATTATAAATCCTGTCGGCAACTTAAACACATTTGAGATTTTACTCAAGATTCGAGTCAGCGACAAAAATGGACTAACCAAGAATGTTCATGTGCTCTCACCATAAGCCTACGACATGGCATATGCTCACATATTTAGCACATTTATATAACTAACCACTGTTTTCACAGAAGAAATTAAAGATGGGTTTCCTTATTTTTAGTGTCAAATTTAGCAAACTATTTGATTAATTGGTGTTTCTAATAAATTATCATGTTTTCTTAATCATATCATTCATTATGTTCTTATTAAAATCATTAAGAGTTTTAACCAAATATAAATGTCCATGTATGTACAGTCTGGATAAACAAAAAAAGACTTTTTGACCTTTGTTGATCAGTCACTAATTGGAATTCTGCTAGTAATTCTCTTTAATTTAGCTAATTATGAATTATTTATAGACAAACTGCTTTTTTTCCAAGTCGTTAGAACACTTCTACTTTCTATTCGTATAAGTATTAGCATTTTCATTTTTGTAAATGAAAATAAGGGAACCCATCTTTAAGTTCTAAAAGATTTTGGGTATATTCAGAAAATAATGTTTTTGAAAAAGGGATGAGAAGAGATTTCACGATTTTTCTAGTTTTTGTTGTAAGTCCTTAATTTCTTTTTCCAATTCTGATCGTCTGGCCACTTTATCCAGTTCTTGTTGTGCTGGTTGCTTTAATTCTCCACTCTTAATCTTTTCCTCTAACTTTTCAGTAGATTTCAATTTTTTTTGTAAATTTTTCAATTTTTTCGCTGGATCTGCATCTTGTACAGCTAGACCACTATCACCTCCTTTTGGTAATTTTTTTGCTTTTCCACCTTTCTTGGACGAATCATCTGCAACTTTGATGCCGTAAACAGATGCTAACAAATCGTCAACCCCATCTGCTTCATCTACGACCTTCTTGCCACCTTTACGATTATTAACGCCTTTTTTCTGCTGCCCTGCTTCAACTGCTGCTTGTTTCTGTTTACTTCTGGCTTCTTGATTGGTCATTACATGACCTCTAGAAGCCGATTCTTTGGCTGACTTAGCCTTATCTACCAGATCTGGACTTAACCCTATAGGTACCCCTGCACGACTTTTCATCCATTTGACACTTTCATTTTGATACCTGGAGAAAAACCGAAATACAGTAGTAGGACAATGGTTTGTGTTTCATTTGTACATTAAGATTATTTAGTAGGGTGGTGTGGTGCTGGATTGGAGAGTTCTGAACAGGTTCCGTTAAAATTCTGTCCCCAATCGAACCACATTCAAAATTTTCTTATCTACATTACATTTACATTGTGACGAATGTTCAAGAGACCTAAACTGAAGTGGCTATATTAAAAATGAAAGTTTATGTTTGGTTTTGGGCCTAATAGGGTTAAAGTTTATACTCACACTGGGACTTCTTCTGGAGGCACGTAACCGGCTTTGACTTTTCTTGCTTTACGTATGGAACCATCAGCTCTCCTACTTTCTGGTAAAAATAACTCTCCTAAAATATACAAAGATCTTCATGCATCAGTCTTAATAAAAAGTCTTTTGAGTAGTAGGGGAAAAAAAGGATGTGTTCAGAACTCAGTTTGAACTTCCTTGGGTGGGCCCTAATGGAGAACAGATTCTGTCTATTCTGCTTTCCATCGAGTGGTATAAATGCAGAAACGGTTTGTCACATTCAAAATTTTCCCATTTACTTTCTTCTCTGCCATTTTCTGTCGGCAACTACATTTTATTTCCATGTAGTGGTTTCCTCCCTAGACAAGTTCCTCCCTAGTGGTTTTGCCCCATTGGTTTTTCACCTCTTTTTAATTTATAATGAACTAATAAAAAACCTGTTAATCTTTATCAATTATTGTGATGGATTAATATAATATCAGGAAGCCATTGGAATAAATTGCTGTGATATTTTTAATCAGAGATAAGTAATCTGTTGGTAAGCAATAAGCATGATAAGATATAGCATTTTATCCACCTCTGTTCAAATTTGACTTGTTCAATATTGCTGATTTGTGTTGAAATTGCAATATTCTTGTAAGTTTAAGGCATGCGCCATGCCATTCCACACATGTGTAATGTGTTTTAATCCCTGTTCCAACTTGTTTAATTGAAGGTCCAGTTCATCAATTGAGCGACCCCCTGGATTCCTGATTCCCAAAATGATGGTAATCTACTGTTATATGGTTGGTAGAACTTTACAAGTTGTTTTTCAAGTCAATTTCAACTTAGTAAAAATTTTATACAGTGGTGTAACCTATTTTCGTGGATATAAGGATTCAACATCGAATTTCGTCAAAGTTAAAAAAACGAAAACAAATTTTTATGTCTTAGATGTTTCCTCAGATATTCTACAAAATAATTAAAATTGGTTTATTTCGATTTTCTTAATGAATCCTTCACTTTGACCCATATTTCATGAGCAACCAACTCGGCAACGGCGGCAGAATGTGTCACCTATTTTCGTGTACAATGTTTGATCTATAAATAAGTCTAGAAAAACATGTTGTATGGATACCCAGTGGTATAATTAACTTTTCTTAGTATTTATCTTTAATATCAATTCATTATAACTAGTGACAATTCCCTCAAAGAACCACGATTTAAAAAAAAAATAGTGACTGACAAAATAAGATACGTAGCATGATTTATTGCTAAAAGTCACTGAAACAACATAAGAATATGGTCCACTTTGTGTTCCATAGAAATTTTCTGCTGACACGGAATCCGCTAGTTGATCACGTGACTTTATTTGTTGGATTATATTCTAGCAGACGACACTTGGAAATCCGATTACCGCACGGGATTATAATGAAATTCGGCCGATAAAAAATGGTGATGTTTGGTAATAAGTGAAATCCGCCATTTTGTATTTGTCAAAGTATACATTAATACATTTTACCTTGCTTGCAACTACTGGATTCATTCTACTAGCTGATAATGTACAGAAAACCCATGTTTATTAAAACAAACTAATAAGGAGATCGCGCAAGGTCGCTCACGTAAATTATTAATCATTTCCGAAAATCCACGAATAATAGGTTTCCACGAAATTAGGTTACTTGACTGTAATATTAGGCTTACACTGTTACACAGCAGTACAGACAGTAGCCTTCCGTACTATTTTGCCAATGCCCTTAGCTTATTTCATTAAAATCATAATGTTTATACCCTCTTCTCTTAAATACCAATGCACAGAATAATAATCTCACAATTTTTACCATTATAATAACTTGTAAACCAATTTTTTACCTGTTACACTATCTTTCACAACTCCAGTTCTTTCTACTGAACTGGGCGCAGCCATATTGGTTTTCGATTAAAGGCAAGTAACTCTTATTAACATCATTATGATAAAGATTACAATAATTTCAAAGTCATAATGACGAAGTGTCAATTGCAAATTTGAGCTTTGTAGCTTTGTAACTTTTTGAAGATAGCCTAGAAATTTATTCGGATATGAACACTTTTTGTGCATTGGTCCACTTTACTGAAAATTTAAATTTTTTCAGTTGGGTCTATTTTTTTTCCAAAAATCTAAAAGTTTGAGGTTGTAACTTTAGGACCAATTGAGACACAGCATCCTGGTTTATTGTGCCATCTGAACCAGAGATGGGCTATCCATGCAAGGTGCAACTCTGTCACACTTAAGGTCTACAACAGTATCGGTTTTAGTATGTCCTATTGAAGCAAAGAAAACAACAAAAACAAAAACCGAGCAAACTCCGCAAATTTTTAGTCATTTTGATCAGGAATAATTTCAAATTTGGACCCAATTTTTTTCTCATTTTTGGCTACTTTTTTTAAAGATGACCAAACAAATTGAAGTTTAAAAACTTGGCCAAAATTTTTTTTTTTATCAGTGGACTTACCCGGTGTCATAACTATACAACAGAATCCCTCTTTAATCAAATAAATCTATAAAACTAAGTAATTTTGAAACATGCTTAGAAGCTCGTTTCAATAATTACTAAGTTTAATTGATGTATTGTCTTATATAGAGATTATATTCTTTAGTCATGATCAGGCAAGGCTGTAAATCCTTTTCAGCCTGGGAGCATTCATTAACTTTAACTGGAAGTGGTAAAATATTGTCCGAAACATCTGCCTCTATTCTAGCCTCTGATGGATGTTTTGATAGTTGTCGGATGAAGTAGTCAGAAGAAAAATTAACATAATATTAAATTACCTTTACAATGACTTAATGACAAGTATCACGTAAGTATGTCACCTTTGAGATTTGGCTGCAGTTTTAACCAGACGATGCGAGATCAGATTTGTTAAAAAATACTTTGATGGAATCGGAGACGTGACATAGATAGTGTAGGGAGAAAATGATCGGATGACTGAACTACTAAAATGTTCATCTTTCCAAATATATCTATATATAAATAGGTTTTAAAACCCCGCACCTGCGGAGATGTGGAATGGCTCCATTTAACAGGGCCTATTTTTTCCGTCTCTTCACTAGCCGACATCTGTCCAAATAACTATCAGAGGATGGAATAGAGACGTATGTTTTGGTCGAGGTAAAATAGTATGTAGCACTGATTATTAATCTTTACTACGGACCACAGTAACATTGAAATTGTCCCCCTTTTGCCACCTGTAAGTTCTATTGAGTCACACTGCACGTGCAAGACGATGAAGATGGATGCTAAAGGTAATGTGAAATTTATTACAAAATCCTGGGTATGGAACGTTATAAAAACAGTTTTAGGAGAGGTCGATTAAAAACATTTTTCAACCGCTTTAGAGACTTTGTTTTGTTAGTATGAATATCACGACATATTCGATAATTATATTTTAATTTCAGACAACCATAGTCCGAAACTTTCTGTACTCCCTCGTGTTGATTTCATTCATTCATTCATTCATTCATTCATTCATTCATTCATTCATTCATTCATTCATATATACATTCATTCAGTAATAAGTAATACTTTTGACCCACAGGTGGTATTTGACCAATTTTCACTTTTTTGAAAACCGAAATTTCGAAGCTTCACCACGGTCAAACCAATTGAGATAGGCTGATGAAATTTACACCCATGCTAGTTTCAGCTTTCAATTGCCACAAACCGCGAGTTTATAGCTCTACTACTTTGGAAGTACTGAGCGTTTCTGTAAGTCTCAGTGACTTTTCACAGAAAAAATAGTCCCAAGAATCCACTTTTAAGCACATTGGGGGAGACCTAGGGAAGCACCGAGTTACATCGATTTTCAAGATCTTAAATATTGGAACCAAAAAGGGATTTTTGACCCACAGTGACCCACCCGCAATGCATTTCATGAACATGGGGAGAACAAAAATTTGACTAGTATAGAACGTAATTAACAAATTTAATTAGAATCACAAAATATACAATAAAAATATACAAAATATCAATACATAAAATACAACATAATTATACAATTACCAATAAGTCTCAGTATTATATACATCATATCAATTTTTACAAAAACCTGATTTGAATTTCATTTGTAATGGTCTTTTGTTATCTTTTAGTTTGGACATATAGAGGACTTCTCCATATTGATTTAGACAAAAAGAGGACTTCTCCTTATTGATTTAGACAAAAAGAGGATATTGATCAAGACAAAAAGAGGACGTCTCCATATTGATTTAGACAAAAGGAGAACTTCTCAAGATTGATTTAGACAAAAAGAGGACTTCTCTGTATTGATTCGGACAAGAAGATGACTTCTCCAGATTGATTTAGACAAAAAGAAGACTTCTCTGTATTGATTCGGACAAAAATAGGACTTATTCATATTGATTAACAAGGTGTATGCCCCTGTTCATCTCATTATGCCTAGTTGCGCTAGCTTTTATTTTTAGTTAATTTAACTCGCAGTCCGTATTGGGTATACGCAAAAGTCTTGTACAAAGTCAACTAAAAACTGCAAATATATAATATATTCCTCTTGGGTCAACGGATAGATTCAGTGGCGGAGCCAGGTTTACGTCCCAGGGGGGCGAGATATCTGAGGTTGCCCGAATTTCTAACTTAGTTATGAGAGTTTATTGCAAACTCTTCGAGAGAAACACTATTGTTATTGGCCGAGTATTTTCACTCTTTCTAGAATACATGATACTATCTCCCTTAGGAGGTTGAAACCTTATCAAACTTATTTATTTTACATTTTTTTATTGGTGGAACTAGAGTTTATAACTTTTTCTTACACAAAAAAACAATGTGATTATAATGATCTATTTTCCAAGGGAAGTAAACCAGGGAACTCGTGTGTTGTTAGTTGAAACCTTATTAAACTTTTTTATAGGTGGAATAAGAGTTTAGAACTTTTTCTTACACAAAAAACAATGTGATTATTAAATGATCTCTTTTCCAAGGGAAGTAAGCCAAGGAATTTGCCAACTTGTTAGGTGAAACCTTACCGAACAATCTTAATTTAAGACAATTCGGGCACAGATTTCATTTTTTTTTTAGCAAATATTGTATGTCATACAATATTTATTGAAAAAAATTGAAATCTGTGCCCGAATTGCCTTTTTTTGGTTGTATAAAAAAAGTTCTAAACTCTACTTTCGGGCTGCGATTTCAATTTTTGAAATATGAATATAAAATGATAATATATAATCATACGAATGACATTCGGGCAGTGATTTCGATCCTTAAATAATATGAATTATGAAATATTATTATAGGAGAATACAATCGGGCTATCAATTTAAAAAAATACAGTTATAGTATAGGATATTCGGGCAAAGATATGATTTCATTTTTAAATTCCAAAAAATAAAAAATAAAATCGGGCCGTTCAAAAAATTTTTTTTTAATGCCTCGCCCGAAAAACTAGCCTTCGGGGCTGCGAGGGGGGGTGGGGGGATGGGGTGACTGCCCCCCCTGTGGCTTCGCCACTGGATAGATTTCGAATAAGCTCATACCATCTTAATACATCAATATGAAAGTTATTTGAAGGGAGAGAATTTTACTCTGAAAAAAAAGAGTTATGCCCCTCCGCATATTCTGAAGTAATAGAATAGAAAAATCTAGAAAACCTCTTAAAATCCCTTTAAAAATAATCTTGCCAAAAATCACAACCGTTTTATAATAAGAAAATGCAGAATAATATTCTCTTTATCGTCACGAGTTAGCCTATTCCTACTAGTTTTGATATGTTACAGATAGATTTATAACTAAACCGTTATAGTCAAATAAAAAGAAATATCAGTTGTCAATGTGTCAACCTGTCAATGTCAAAATGTCAAAGACAATTATAGTTCACTTCTACTTTTCCAAAGTTTAGAAAGATGTTAAAGTGATAGTAAAAAGGTTTTCTTAATTTTGTACGCGCATCGGTGACACTGATAGCATCAATTTGTACCGTTCCAAATTTAATCAGATGTCTATGGTTCCTGCAACTCAAGTGTTTATGACGTCACCAATCGTGAAGCTCAATATGTTATAAAACAAATTACTCGATTAGTGACGTCATCAAACGCTTATTTTTATGGAATAGCAGGAACCACAGACATCTGATTGAAAATTGGAATGGTGCAAATTGACGCTAACAGTGTCCTCAATACGCATACAAAATTCCTTCAACGACAATTCGAATTGCACATCGAATTTTATTACTAAAATAGAGGTGGATAGATGATTATTCAGCCATATCAGCTCGTAAACAATGTCGTGTGACGAATATATGAATTTTAACAAGCCCACGATTTAGCCTTATCGAGGATGAAATGGAAATGAATGGAGTTTTACGTCCTACTTTTCTGCACCATGTGGGCTAATGAAGACGAGCAACGCCATGCAGGGTGCAATGAGGGAAATTTTGCCAGGACAGCGGCATTAGCCTGCTCTTTTTCGATTTTCAACTGTCGAGGGATCTTTAACGTGCACAGCCTGTAGCACACGGGGCCTCGGTTTATTGTCCCATCCGAACGACTAGACGCTTATGGACCTGCATCACTGACAGGGAACCGGGTTGAAAAATCCGTAGGTATTATCTCGACCAATGCCTGAATTGAACCCTGGACCTCCAGGTTAGCGAGCAATCGTCTAACTCACTGGGCCACCGCGGCTCCCGAGGATGAAATAGAAAAGAAGACAATAAATATATAACTGATGATGAAGAATTGAGCAAGAAAACACCCGAGTTTTTATAATAAATGCTATCCTTACAATTTCAAGCAAAATTTGTCGGAACATGCACAGATGAATTGATTTTTTTGATTTTTCGAAATTTCGACCTGAGTCTTGATCCATCCAGCCAATATTTAGCCAATAAAATTGATTGGTCGAAGATTGAATTCTCGAACAATTCATAAAATAAACTA